TAAAGACTTTTTTGGTAAAAAGAAGTAACTTTGAAAGAGAAACATTGTTTTTTTTAAATTTTTAATGCTTTCCCGCATCTATCGTTTTCCCGCATTCATCGTTTTTATTTCCCACCCCCGCCGAAAACGATGCATCGAGGTTTCACTGTACTTTTCATTTTATTATTCATGAATCATTGTATCATTCAGCACTGTGTTTTCTGAGCTACAGACACTGTCATTAAATAAACTACAGATAAAATCAAATATGTGTTAATAGGCTGTGAATTAACCAATAATCACCCTACTGTGAGCATTTAGGCCGCCATATAATATTTTGTCCTCACAGTTGTATGTACAATTTTCATACATTTAAAATTAAAATGTACAATACCATGAATGCATCCTGTTTATCATCCTGTTTAAACATCATCAGTATATTGACTGACAGCTAGGAGTAACTCATATTACAGTATGTGTCTTGGCTTGTGTAAATGTGTGATTACTGTTTGTACTTGTTTATATGAGCTTGTAATTTTGTTTTGTGCAAGTGCTTTATACCTGAATGCTGACATTATTGTCCTGGTCTGGGGTTATTTCAGCTATAACAGAAGAAAGCTGGATGAACTCCCCTTCCAGGTGTTTTGGCTTTGTGGTTCTTTAAAGGAGGAGTTTCTTTATAACCATTCCTGGTTGTATGTGAAGCTTTGTGGTTCTGATGTATACCATGTAAGTACTGGCTTTAATTTTATAGAAATTTTTTAATTTTATTTAAACAACATATACATATATGCATACACCGAGATTTGATAATAAGTTCCATGAGGTACTTTACAGTACCTATTTTCCTTTAAATGCTTTCTTCTATAAGAGAGGCTAGTATAAATTAGAAATTGTGCAAGTTAGTGATGTATCTTTGTGCTTTATTTCTTCTAGTACAGTGTACTCCCAATTATCCAGGCTGATGATGAGCAAGAAACACAAATAATTAAAAGTGGTAGATAATTCAAGATATTTTAAGTTAAACTGTCATAGTGTATCACAAATTACTTATAACATACATTGACTTTACTGTGCTTAGTTTAATAAATAGTCAGTAATGTTTGTTAATGAGTTGTGTAGACATCTCTTGACATTTCAAAATGTCCCTGTAACTGAATATCACTGTAGTCAAAGTCTCATTTACTGATGTACTGAAGCAAAATGTCAACACACTGAAGTGCCATGTGCTGACTACTATTTCCTATTCTACACTTTTTTTCTTTATGCAGTGGTATGTTTGATATCTGTGCTTGTTATACACTAGAAGCTTTGTTCACACAAGTTTTTTAATCTGCAAGTTAAAACCTTTTAAAACATTCCATTAAGGTCTAAATTACTGCTGGAAATATTATACAGCATTCTGTTTTCCATGTAAAAATCTGTGTAACCCAATAATATTACAGTCACATGTGCCTCATCATTTCACTTAACAAAGGTCTTATAGTTTACATTTTTCTTTTTGGATTTTTATAGGTACTGGAGGACATTGCTCTAGAAGAGAAATCTTTGGTCACTAATAAAGGACCAGAAAAGGACCTTCTCTTTCTTAGAAAGTTTCTTGAAGAATGCTCTTGTGCATTGGCATATGATGGGAGGCAATTTTACTCTCAGCTGTATGGCCACCTATCTGCTATATTTGGTTCTCATGAAGGGAAGACACCTTTTCATGAAGGTGATTTAGAAAGGAAGCCTTCCTCATCAGAATCAATTTGGGAGTCGCCTGAAGGCTACAAATTTGTGAGGGAACTGTATGAGGTTTGTTGTGACCCCCCTGTTCTTTCCCTCCTTCCTCTTCAGCCGCTGGTCGGTGGAAGTGCAGGATCTGAGGAAGGGAAGAATGTGATGGATAAGTTGTCAGTTTCTGCTGCAGCTGCAAGTAGTGGTGGTGCAGTTGAAGTAGAGGACTTGGACCAGTTGTGTCGGTTTGACATGGTAACACGGCTGGTTGATAATCCTGATTTTGTTGTCACTGTGTCAACAGAACGGGAAGAAATTTCAGTGTGGGACGCCCATGATGCCATCCCTGTAAGAACTCTTGTTGGAGTCACACATCCCATTAATCTCAAGGCCATTGATGATACCAGGTATGTATTACAATTCATTCCAATTAAGTTTATGGTAAGACACAATGGAAACACAGAAATTGGCTTTTGTTTTACAGTAGCTAAAGTTAAGTTGCAGTATTATCAAACATGAATTAATGATTATAATTTTAAAATTTGTTAATAGAGTTATTTTCATGAGTCTATTTGTGTTCATCATGAAAGAAATTAGCAGTTTCATTAATCTGTTGTTGGCCAGAAATTGAAATGTCTGTTAGTACAGTCACTACCTTTTAAGCTCCTGTGCCAGTATTTCCTATAGCACTAATGTAACACTTTTGCTATTCAAGCTCTGTTCTCCTAGCATTGTCCATCTAAATGAGATATACCATATAAAGAACAAAGATTACACTTGAACAGGAGAGGCTGCTGGATGTGTGTTACTAGTTCTTATATTACAAAAAAGTATCAAGCAAGGTGAAAAGATTGTTTTGTAATATCTGGTGAGAAGGGTAGCAGTGATGTTCATTAAACCAATGGCTTGCAAAACATCGAATTTTCAACCCCATTCAGACTTTGATTCTTTTGCTTCAAACAAAGAAACATTAATAGATGGCATGATGGGCTGTATTCAGCGGGAAAAGCAGAATATCAAGAGTTTTTGAGTGCAGACAATTCAACAGGTTGATGACAATGATCTTCTGGTATGTGGAATTATAGGATAATACCAACATTTTAGAGAAACATAATCGACCCTATGGGTGCTCCCACCTCAGAAATGGATTTTAGACCCTTGCCTAAATGAATAGAGGTCAGCAAGGTGGTCATAAATTATATGTACAGGCATTAGATACAAGTCAACCAGAACTTATAGAAGATGACAGGAAGACTTACTGTAATATAAGTATGTAGTATTGAATAGGTTGACAGTCGAATGTGTCTGATTATATTTATGAGCTGCTTGGTTTAATTGTCATATTTTGTTTCTGATTACCTCCATAGAATACTGGATTGCTTCCTGTTGCATATTTCTTGATTCATTCAAAATGAGCTTACTATATTTCATTTAATGCTATGTAATTCCAATAGCTGATACAGCACTATTAACTCTTCCTGATATGGTTCCAGATGTGTGGTCCTGTGTCGAAGAGAACTTAGAATCTATGATTTGGACTCAGGAGAGTTTGTAACAAGACTGAAGGGTGTCATGAATCAGAAGATGCCCTATTATGGACTCCATGATCGAGGTCATCTGGTAGCACTTTCGCGTAATCGAATGTATGTGAACCTCATGAACCTGGAGAGTGGAGACTGTGTAACAACGTTCAAGGCAGGGGAGGACCGGTTCCTAAATTCCTTGCTTGTTTCTGGTGATGGCAGGTAAAACAAATGTATATATAGTAAAAATAGTAAGAGTTACATGTCAAATGATATGATTAAATCAATGTGTAAGATATATGTCTTTAGGTATGTAATGTTTGTTATAAAATGTCAACCTTGTAAAAGATTGTATTTCTTTGCTCATTGTATAAATGTTTGGAATTTGGTGGGGGGTGGGTTATTGTATAATTCTTACTCTTAGAAAGTGAATAGGCAAGCAGTAATGTGGTAACATTGGTAGGGTGTTATCAATTTAAAACATATTGTATAATGGTAGTACTAAATATCAAATGTTACAGTACTTGGAGGAAACAGCTCAGTAGTGATTATAGTGTGATGGTTTAATTCAATTTATTTGAAGGGGTAGGTATAGAATATTTCACTAAATTTGCTGCTTTCAAGATTTTATTAAGAATAAAAAGGATGTATGACAAAATAGTATTCTGTTATATACCTTCAGTATTCTTAAGTAACTAGGTTGTTGTTCCTTGGCTCTACAACCCTTTTGTGAGTCTTTGTCGCCTCCTATTCAGATGCTCGTAAGGTTCTTTTACATGCTGTAAATCTACGACATGGGACTGCTGGCTTTACTTCCTGTCCCAAGGAATTTGTGCTAAGGATTTTTATAACCCTTAAAAATCCATCGACCTTGGTCGGGTTTGAACCCACGAACCTTGGGTCCAGTGGCAAGCATGGTAACCACTAGTCCACTGGGGGCGACAAGTAATTAGGTTACGTGGCAAAATCTAGACTTCCAATTTCACTCTTGTAATGTTATCAACCAGCGTGATATTACCTTATTGAAGCACTGTACATTAGTAGATGATGTGTAATTATACTAATTGAAATCACTTCAGAGTGTTGGTCTGTGGGGATGAAACTCAGAAGCCATTTCCTTTGCTCGTATGGAACTTGTCATCTAGAAAATTGCTGTATGATTTGCGAATCCCTCATCATGACTTTGTCACAAGTCTGGCTGCCATCACACACGAAGGACATTATGTATGTTGTGTTGCAAAGGTGAGTATTCAGTCTTACAGTATTTTTATTATTTTCATAAAGATATAATATATATTCTGGAAAATAAATTACTGTAGTTTATCTAATGTATCTGTGCCAAGACATTTTTTAACAACACCCTTCTCTTCAGACTTTTGAAGGAAGCAGGAATTGAACCTAAATATGCTACTCCTATTTTGCTGCAGACATAAAATTGGTACATATTTCCAGTAGGAACACAGTCTAACATTAGCCTTTATGGCCTAATGTCTACTGTTTTGAGGAACTCCAGTAGTATCTATGATGATTTCATGCTGTCATGTGGAAAGCATTTGGGGTGAGAAAATTAAAATATTACCCTACATTTTGCTTGAAGTTTATGAAAGAACCTAAAATTTATCAGTGATGACAATCTCTTCCCTCATGAAACTGTGAAATTGCTTACTTCTGAAAGATTAGGTGCATAACTTGAGTACTATACTCTTTTATATTCTTGCATTGTAAATCAGGAAGTGGATGAACCATGCCCCAACTTCATTGTTGTGTATGACCTACAAAGTGGGACATTGTTCAAAAAGTGGAAGCCAGGTGTAAATACAGTTTCTCTTGACATTTCATCTCGAGATGGCTGTGTCATCAGTGGGCTAGAGGATGCAAGGATTCTAGTCTGGGATCTTGTGACAGGTTAGTAAAGGAATGATGCCAATTTAGGTCCCCAAATTGATAGACTCAGCCTTATAACCATAGTTTTCAATTAAGGATTTCTTTATTAGCCAAGATCAGAATATTATTTTTTAAAATGCATCAGAAACAATTACAAAAATAGTTATTTGTTCTAAAATATAGCAGGGCTTCAGAGATTTATTAACTTAAAATATCTAATAATGTTGTTTGATTCCTGACAGGGGCAGAGGGTTCTCCTCTAGCCTCTGCATCCAAACCAGCTCTGGGGCCCACCCAGCCACCTAGCCAGTTGGTACCAGGGTCCTTCCTGTGGTAAAGCATAGCCGGAGCATGACACTGACCCACCCCTTCCCCCAAGTGCCTACATGGTGTATAGCAGGACAGCTGTACTTCACTTTACTATACTTAATGACTAATAATGTTAATTCTTTGTGGTCCATTATGTAGCATTGTAATTGAATTATGGATTGAAAAAGATTAAGAACAGGTAGATCATGAATTATTAATTTAATATTTATAAAACTTTGTGCAGAATATTGCACTGCACAGGAGAATCCTGTGACTTAGTAAGTAAGTAAGTAATGATAAGTATCACCTGGAATAAGTTTTCAGTTATCTAAAGTAGTTATGGAGTGTGGTCTGCTGGATTATGATGCTATGTAGTATTGAAGGTGGATACCACCGTTTCAGAGGAACCTATCACATCTATTTACAGGGTGTAAGTGAATATGGAGGCAATAGATTCCTACATAACAATGATAACTACCAACAAGAACACAGTATCATAATCCAGAAGACTGAAAACTAAATTTTCACTGTCCTGAATACCTGAAATCTCATTCTTTGTTGGATTTATAAAAAAATTAAGTCATTGGTTGTTCAGTTCAGGCATTATTTTTGCTCACATGTTGGATATTAAACAGAACTTTAAAAATTACTGTTACCATGTAAAGTTTAACTTGAGGTTACGTGTGTGGTGTATTTAAGAAATAAGAAACCTGTTGGATGCCCCACAGGACATTTAATACATATTCTATAAGGAATAAGGAAGATATTTATGATTCACAACACAGCGATGAATGTTTTACATACCATATACTGCAATTTAGTACAAAATATAAATAGTCTAACATTTCATAATTCCATACTTATGGTTACATATGTGTTTGCTGAATTACAGGAAATTGCCGGTGGTACTTGTGCGGGCACACAGCCCCGGTCAACTTCTTGCGACTTGATTCCCTTGGAGGTACATTCCTCTCAGCAGACTCAGTCTGTAGAGACCGATCACTTCGGCTTTGGGACCTCAATAAAGGCAAGTGATTTTGACATAGTTATTAATAGAGTGTTAATGCTGCTGCATAAAATGTACAAATATGGCTTAGTTAACAATTTCATTTTCACTGAATGGCAATATATGTATTGATACTCTTTTAAAAAGAACCTGGTCTAATGAAACTCTTCACATTTCAAATTTTATGTCTCATGTCCACTTTTTGTTACCTGGATTGTTCCATACAGTCTATTCAAGTCAATGTCCCTGTGTAACATTTTGTAACATGCTGTTCTTTTATGGTGGAGAGTTGTTAATCTCTACCCAGCCCCCAAGCTGGAGGGCCACACCTTGTTGCCTCTCCATATCTGCTTATTCAGTATATTCACAGCTGCTCTCCATATCTGGAGGCCTTCTTTTCTGTCTACAACCTGAGAATACACCAACTGATGGTGACGAGGGAATGACTTAACATAGTCCTACATAATCTTTGTAGTCATTGAACAGCTGCCACTCCCTTCCACACAATTACTACCAATCCTTTTCTGTGTAACATGGTCAGCAGAACCTCCTTGCCATCACCTCTCAAAATTTCATCAACTCCTTTCCTCAACCACATGCTCCTCTCCCATTGGACAGCAGCCCGCTCCTCCACTCTGTCAATCAGGAACAGATGTGGCTCTTACCCAAAAGCTAAAGTTATATGTAGGATAAGTAATTATATACTTCTTAATTCATAGTTCCTCCTAGTCTCACAGTGTAGATCGATCCATTTCAGAGAAAGTGGGCATAGGAAGTTATTCCCAGAACTTCTTTGTTAAGAGATGACAGAAAGTAAAAATCAGTGAAATGAGTGCAGTTTTCCTAAACCCAGGAAGAACCTGTAAATGACTGTGACATCTTGTAAACTTGCCATGAAATATTACTCTGTGGCAAAGAATTTGCATATAATTAGAGTATATCTGTTTCCTAATTTTGTCCTCTATAAGCTGTGTAGTTCATTATCTATTCTTACATTTAAGGTGAGCTGCTGGCAGTGTACACACCTGAACGTCCTGTGACATCATGTGAGGTGACAAGAGGGGGGCACTTTGTGGTACTAGCCCTGCGTGGTCTTTCACACATCACTACATTACAATTACGTGGTCCACAAGTAGATATCTCTGTAGGCAGTGAAAACCACTGCTATGGGCATCCTGAAAACTTAGGTAAAACCTTTGACTTGCGTGATGAAGTACGTGCAGCAGAAAGGTGACAGAAGAGAGCAGGGTCTTGTCTTTGTAATGGATGAACACAAGTAGCAACAACCTCACTACAAAACTTGAGTGTGTGGCAATATGATCGTTCAGAAATATAAGAAATTTTGATTACCCTTTAAAATGTATTGCTGTGGTATTGCATAAATTTCATATCATTCTCAATACTTTTCCAAATTAAAATTATTTCTGTGCTGGCTCTGATAAAGATCAAAAGCATTAGAGGCATTTTCATTGATGACTAAATGTTTTCATATAGCAGTATTTAAAATTACTCTACAGAGGAGGTCACACTTTTGTATTGAATCCAAACCATTTCTCATTAGAACAGCAGAAAGATCTCATATAAATTGTCCACTGTCAATAAGCAGTATGAAGTAGCTTGGTATGTTTGATGTATGCTATGGAGTCAGTGTCTCTGACTCCTTGTAATAATCACATCCACTCATGAGCCATAATTTGTCCATATTGGTGCGGAGGGATAATTCATAAGTTCTATTGTTTCAATGATACTGATAGTGCACTGCATAATTTAGACTCAACCCTAAAAACCACAAAATAGTGTTCAATAATAAATCATAAGATATTTGGACTAAGTGAGAGTCATGATGTTGTCTAAAATGTTTAGTAAATATTGAGTGGAGAAATGCAATTAGTAAATATGTTTTTCATGCTTTTATTACAAACTGGTTTTGTGATTACATATCTATGTTAATAGTGGTGTCTTTTTCCATAAGCTTTAATGTTATTAAGTTTGTATACTGATACTGAAAAGGTTTCTTGATCATCGTGGTTACTGTTGTGGCACATGTTAAAAGTTATGAATTACTGGCAGTATTGAGTCTTAAATGTTTTTGTAACTAGAATGTTTTATGATGTTCAAAAGAAAAGATTTATATACAAGCCTACCATTGACAGATACAGTTGACTAAAGATGCTAAGTGTGATTATTTTTTGCCTCAATTGGATATGTATTTTGAGGTGTGAAGGAAGATGTGCACTGGTAATGAATATGCATTCTCCTCTATATTTGTTTCTAAAAGGACACTCTACCTCATAACTGGATATAATAATGCATGTGAAAATTAACTCTATAGGAATGTAGAGATAAAAATCTAAAATGAATTAAACAACTTGCAGAGTTTAGCAATAATATTCAAAATGACAACTAATTATCCCACATATGTCTTACCAATTATTTTTACATTTTTAATTTTAGTGCATATTATCACAAATTTGAACTTTATAGCCAATCCATTCTGTCCACTCAGCTAAAATATGCTCTACATATTGTAACTAACCAGATCTGAACTGTGGTAAGATGTTTCTTATGTATTTATATACATTGGTAGGTTTGGTAACACCTCCCACATTACCAAATATTGTATTGTTTTGAAAAGTCTCTTCCTGTAAATCTTGAATTTTCAGCTCTGAAGTATGTAATTTCTCTGTAAGTGTAATGACCATACATCTAAACGGACTCTTGATGAGAGATGCTGATGTAAATATTTTGATGTTTTATAGTTTAAATCAAAGTAAAGAGTTGATATTTAACATATACCCATAAGGCACTGAAAGTATTGCAGTAAGAATGGTTATATTTCCTGGAGAGTGACTATTAAATTATTTTTTTGAATAGTATTTTCAGTTGGTGGGTGCTCTTGAGGATAATTCAAAGGATTACATCATACAAAGAAACAGATACAAACTCACAAACAAATATTACAATTTGTAATTCTAGAAAGCATAGACTCAGCTTCAAATCTAAATGCATTAAAATTCTTTATAGATCAGAAAGTGTACAACAATTATGCAGATAAGATATGGAGACAATAATACAAGTAATTGTTACCACCAGTATGAAGGCTATAAATTTTATGCCTGCAGTAATATCTCCAAGGTATAAATTTGTTCTTTTCTCTCTCTCTCTAGTGTGTAATTAACAGTGATAACCAAACCTTGAACTTTTACCTGAATCTCTAAAAATGAATATACCTCTCTTGTCAGTCAAAACTTTCTATCCCTATGACATAGACACCACCTCCTAAATTTTGTGATTTGGTTCTGCACCCTCACTTCTCTGGCACAATTGTGGCCTTTGTTGATGTTTCCTGTGTTTGCAGAGTCTAAAGAAGGATTGTTATGCATATAGGTCCATTTAATCAAGCTGTGCTTCTGGAAATGCACATTGTAAATTTTGATTGATTAAAACCCATTTTTACTTGAACTTTTGGGAAAAGGTTATAAATTCACAAAAACAATAAGTAAACATTTGCTGTTGCAGAATTTACTTCTGATTTAAGAAAGATCATAGGTTACTTATTACTGTTATGAAAAATACTCTTAATCATGGATTGAGGTTATTTGGAGACAAAATGTTTCGAAACCCTTACTGTAGTTGCTTTACTAAGGTGGTTGACCATGACTTCAATTTTTCATTCATATCACCATTTCCAGAGTGGCTTCTAGGCCTATGATCCTCCTGTTTTATTGCATCTGGTGGGGTGAAGGGAAGTTAGTCATTTTCCCAGAAGCAAAATCAGGTGGAGTACAAGCCTGGGCACTGAGCTTCATCTAAACACTTAGAACTGACAATATGTGAACATTTACCTCTAAACTCTTATATGCCTTCACTTTGTTCATAAAAGTTTCTTTCTTTATAGATGTCCACTTTGATTCCTTCCAAAATAACTGAAGTTATAAATACATGAATGTGTTTTAATCTCTTCAAACCCTCAATAAACAATCCACAATTTAGCAAGTTCCTGTTTCCTGGTATCAGCAAAATTGAAATTACAAACTTATAGAGATTAGTTGGTAGCTTTTTGCTTGACCCTATGTAAAGCAATTGATTATACAAAAAAGTTATCATAACACACTCTACATTAAGAACTGCAGATTGTTTATAGCAATATTTTGTTTTGAAATTGCTAACAAAAAGAGTGAATCACACCTTAGTAAAGTTATGTGTTATATTGAGATAATGTAATATAAAATAATCACTGACTTCCAACAACTTTAATAAGATGAGTGAAGTCAATAGTGACTGCAATAAGTTCACCTTTTTGCTAGCAGAACATTTTCAAATAGTGCTCCCCAGCTATAGTTTGTCCCTTTCTGAGGTAGAGGTTCCTCTTGTATCTAGGAATGAGGAGTGTCAGATTAATAAATAGCAGAAGATCAAAACTATGAATGTGGTTTATAAATTTGTTAGAGAAAAGTCAGTCACAAGATTCTTGTTAATCCATTGACAACATTTTTAGGATTAGTGCTAATTTTGCTTGTGTCTTCTCTTCTTTGTGCAGGTGTATGGGTAAAAGGTTGTTGCTATTTTGATGGACTCACATCTGAAACTATGAAAGAGATGAATTAAATGGTTATACTGATACCAAAATAATAATTGTGAACCTGAGTTATTGTTAATCCAGTCTGGTATTAGTAAGATCTTGGTGTCCCATGTCATTATGTAATTACACCAGTATTTGCTATATTTTAATTGCCATGAAATGGGGAATATGTTCAAAGCTTAAAGAAAGCCAAATTGGATGGATGGCTGGAGTGCTGTAAATGAACATCACATATACAGTCATTTTCTCATTCAAACCAATGAAGTAATGGCTAATTTTATACATTTTCCATTGAGAAATTATACATACATACACTTTTTTATTGCCCCTCCAAATATAATGTTGCAATCTGCATAGATTTAACTGTTGCGCTACCAATTTCCAAAGCTTAATACATATATCTAGTTGTATGTGCTTATAATTGCTGCCACATCAGTATTTTCTCTTGTGCTTTGATAATTACAAGTCATCAGTAATACCTGTTTGAAAACATTAAATATTCCATCCATATATTAGTGCTATTTTTGTGTTATGTGATAAAATGTTCATTTCTAGATTTTGAAGATTGCTGCTTGCTATTTAAAATTGTTCATAACTTGTTTCCAGCTGAATTTTCAATTCTTGAAATGATTTACTAGTCAATATTAATTCTTGTAGTTATTTGAGATTACATTTATAAATACTGATTTTTTTTTAATATAGCAAGGAAAATAATTATTTATATCCTAGGTTTTTGTGTACATTTTAAGCTATCCAGGGATGAAGATGATAACTTTGTGGAATTACCTGGTAGGTCCCGTGCTGTTGAGCTTACATAGAAGTACTGATTAACCTAATGATTATGGGTTGAAAATGGGGCACTGCATGGAACATAACACCTTCATTGAGAGATTCATACATTTTTTACAAGGAAAATGTTTGTTTGTAATGCCAGTGTCTTCTTTCCTTGTCTTGAAATTTCAAGGTATAACAACAACAATAATCCTGCAGGATTATTTTGGCTTTACGTATTGTTTCTGCAGTTTGAAACCCTATCATGTGGCAAGGAATGTACTAGAGAAAAGCTAGATTGCAACTCATAATTGTGAAACATTCCATTTATGTGTGTGTATTAGAGATGGAAGGCACTGCTATGGTTGTAAACTCAATAAAGAAATTGTAACTGTATATATAAAATATTTGTAATGGTCAAGGTTCGCTATGTCATCGGAATATCTTGGTTGACATGTTTACTATTTTGAACATACAGTTTCCATTGACAATTATTGATATGTGCACAATCAATAGTTTCAGTTAACTTGAGCAAGATATCCTCATTGAATTTTTTTTGCTAAGTATCAGACTTCAGACATTTTGATTATTTCATGTTAACTTAAAATTTAATTAGTTTCATTAATTTAAATTAAAGTTCATTTGGAAGAATTTTTTACCTTCCTATGAAATTAGTAACCATTCTGATGTTACCATGAACGAATGATTCTATAAACTGCAGGTTTTTAGGAGAGCTACAGTGTTTAGTCTCCTAAAACTAGGAACAAAGGGCCATTTCCTACCAATTGTCTTTGAGAATTGATAATGTAATTGTGATTCATTTTGTTGGTTGTGATGTAATTATAACTGAATGTTTTCCACTGTCTGATATTTGCTGCACAAATAAAACATACCATGCAATAATGCATGTCATATCCAATTTGGGTTAATGTTAACTTTCTTAGTTTGTTTTCTTTTCACATACATACATACATCTTTATTACATTCCATGGATCCATAAGTTAGTAAGATGGCAATAGGATGTAGAATAAGTCATAATAATACAATACATGTTATACAAATACAAGTCATACTATTATATAAATGTCACAAAATACAGACAAAAGGTTCATGTAAAGTAGAGATAAGTTACAAATAAATCCACCTATTATATACAATAGATAAATTATGACTTACTTGTAAATACGTAAAATACAAGCAAGAAAGTTATAATTATTTTTTGCCTGAAGTGATTTTCTTTATTTATGTGCATCGTTGCAATATACCTTGGAAGAACTTAAAAGTTGTAGTCTTTAAAAATGTAATCTAACAAACTTAATTTCAGTTATGTAATTATATTTCTATTAATTTTGTGTGAAATATGTGGTAGACAAAGTGGCACAGTTTGGATTTTTCCATTTGATTTATTTTTACTATCAAAATAAGAAAGCTGCTGCAAACTGTTGAAAGGCGAGTTGGGTGTACAAATTATTGCCTTCAAATCAAACCATGGGTAAGTTGTCTAATGTAATGATATAATTGTACCATGAAGAGATCTACATGAAGGTACAGATTTTAGTGCCTTCTACTGAAATAATTATTTTCAAAGATTTTGTGTTAAATTTCTTATGCCTATAACATATCTCCTAAACCACTTATGGAGATATGAGATGTGGCATAAACAAGCTTCAGACCTACTACCATACTTTGCATTGATATTTTTGTTGCGTGTATGGAATAAAAAGTCATAGGAAGTGAAAAAGGTGTTAAATGTTGATCGCAAAAATAAATGTTGAATAATTGGTAAACATTTAGCATGTTGAAAAATGTTTCAAACAACATTTGTGGAACTTGCAGAATAGCTATGCTATACTATTGTCTGGGGGCAGAAGTATGCTAATTTCAATTTCTAGATCTAGGTAGAGGAAACAGGTTCAATTGATATCGATTACATGTATAAATATATGACATTCTTTTTAATTAATTTTGACATCTGAAGAATTAGCTTTTTTGTTAACTTATGGATAGAAATTAAATGAGAGTGATGTAGCCAGTTTGCATGCATATACTTTTGAATTATTTACATTATTTGTAGTATATTTAATGATGCCTTCAGTATCTCAGGCTATACATGAGAAGATGATAATGAATTGTTAAGATGTGGAAGGAAGCACTCATGGCCTAACTCAAAGCGCAACCGAGCCATTTGCCTGGAGGGTCTCAGAAAAACCACGAAAACCCTCAGTCAGTGTAGTCTGTCTCCAGGCCGAGATTTGAAACCGGGACCTCCCAAATAAGAAGTAGGAGTGAAGTAAGTTCCTTCAAAATTATTGATGATAATGAGTACAAAATTGTGGCGGCGTGAAGTGACACAATTTTAGGCCTAGTAATAGTATACCCTGTTACTTATTTCCCACACCACATTGCATTTGCTTTGCTCTATCGAGCTCTGAAACATAGATGGCAGCGCAGCAAGTATGCCATGATTCCAGTAACTGCGCACATGAAAGCAGCCCTGTCTTGTTGTTTTGCGTGCTACGTTGATGTTAGCTCCCGGAAACTAGACTTAAGCGCTTGTAGCGGTAGACATTACAATTCTTCGGTCACCTAAGGAAGCGCCATTTTATCTACTCTTGCTTCATGGTTCAACATGAGTGATTATTCAGCGGTTGCTCCGCCTACGAATTTCAGTCAAAGTTCAGCTTTTGCAGCTGCCCTTCAGCGTGCTAGACAGGTAATTAGTTGTAATTAATTTGAGTTTTCATAGGAAGGAACTTTGGGTTATTTGGAACCGTCGGTATAGCGTGTATGGTAGGGCCTTGGCGGCGTACATACGTCAATTGGCGCCATTCCGTTTTATATTATTGTGTTGTTATGTAGTGTAGTTACTAAGTATATTTAAGGTTGACTGTTGATAGCGTTTTCGGAAGTATGTTTGATTATGATCCGATACCGAAATGCGGCTATTAACAAGCAGTACTTAATAAATGCTTTGTATGTTCTTGACCGGCCTTGGTGTACACGCCATTGCCGCTGAGAGCCAGTCTTTGTGTAGCAGCGCGGGTAGTACCGCATTTTTTCGCTTGCATTATAAAATTGAATAGAACGGAGTATGCCCCAAGGTACTAATAACCCTGTGAAGCCAGTTTAATAATTTTCACAATGAAATTTTATGTCCAAATTAATGTGTGCGTCAGTTTATACATATCTTCAAAAGTGGTACATGGGATTTTGTGCCCGCGTGGAGCCAATTGTGCTTTGTTTCATATAGTTTGGCTGAAACCTGTGACGAATATTTTGAACAATACAAATTAACTAGTTTTGACGTAGCATTGTTATTTGTTTCTATTGGAAGTCAAGGCCATTTAAATGGGAGCGTTAGATTTTGGCGCTTGTTGAGCAAGTGTGTGTGTGTGTGTATGTTTTCTTTGTATCAAAAGAAGTTCCCGGATTTCAATTCAAACTTTGTTTTAGCTTTTCATTGCTATTATTATGCCAACTAATAAGTGAACATTTTTTCACACAGTTGACCCTTATAGAATATTAATACAATTTTCCTCGTGTTACCAGAAATTGTATGCACATAGTTGAACCTATCACATGAACACAAGATACTCAGTTGAGCAACAGGTCATCAACAGTGTTGATATGGTTTGTGTTTCTAGATTCATTACTTCACATGTGCACAAGTATAAAACTGTCTTTAGTGTACTGTCTTATTTTCCCATGTGTCACCTGAAATGTTTCATTGTACCTCTGGTGATGCTAACTTAGATGAATTTTAATGAATATAAGTGTGCATTTATAAATATGCCATTAATATCAGGGAGTGAATGATATAGTTCACACATTGTGAAAAATATGAAATTTCAAATGTTGATAAAATGTGTATACAATTGAAAGTTTTGTTTTGAAAATGAAGCTGATAGTTATAAACACATGCTATTTTTAATATGGTTGCAGTGAAACCCCTATATTATTTATCATTAAGTGTAATTCTGTGTTTCCTCGATTTAAAACACCATCTATTGTATTGTAAAAAACACCCTTGATTTAGTAATAGATTTTGTGGAAGAAAGGTGCTTTTTTGAATCTTATGTGCACCCTGAATTCATACATATTTACATGTAAAAAAGTGGGTCTTGAAATCAAGAAAATACATTATTTTGTTTTTACGAGTTCTGTTAGTATAGTGTGTGGAAACTGCTGGAACCTCAGTGAGTGAAGATCTTGAGGTTATGTGTCTAATTTGAAAATAAAATTCTTCCATACCTAGCCTTTACAGAATTTGGTCCTCTTGGGATATGTGCATGCATATATATGCATTTATTTGCATAAATTTATCAGGGATATGATCATTTAAGTTTTTTAGTACTACCTGCACTTTTTGATTTTAGGTACTAACAAATCATGATGAAAACACACATTCTGTCATTACTGAAATTATAGATATCAGGACTTCTTAACTGTGGTGCATGTATATTGTGATCACTGATATTTTTAGTATTTATGTACTGGAATTTCTTTGTTTTGGTGTAGATTGCTGCTAAAATCAACCCTACTGGTACAAGTGAGAGTGCAGGTCAGAAACGCCCATTGGAAGACGGGTCAGGTATGGACTGGACAGGTAAACTTATGCACAGGCCAAGTCTCCGGTTAACAGATATTGCATTGACCATTTTTTTGACAGAAACTAGTGGAAATGTCCCTGATATTACTTTGATGCACTGAATTGTTTTTGGAATTGGTTTGTGCCCCTTTTCATGTCGACTTTGATTAAAATCTAGGTCCCCTTTTTTCCATTACTTAGCTTTAGTGTTGTATTGGGTCAAGTTTTTCAAGTTTCTGAATATTTTTTGAAAGGTCCTACTCGATATAATTAACATTTGAACATGAGAGAATTCTATATTATGAACTGAAGAATTGCATCATATGCTCTATATGGTGATCTAGATATGAGTTTAAATATGAGATTTTTAATTATTATAAAGTTAAAGCTTGTTTGATGAATTTCACAAATTTGCCTATCATATTTAAAGGATTTTTAATTGTTTGTTGTTCTGCTTGGTATACTTCAACTTAGAAAAGCTGAGTTATATCCCATGTCATGTTTATGATAGAACAAGGTTTATTATTGAAGAAATGTTTGTGTCTAACATGTATATTAATTTCCTTTCCTTTATGACATGGTTTTGGCTGCAGGAATTGTTATGAAAGTGCATTGGATTACATTCTGTGGATAAATGCATCATGCTTGCTTGTGGTTGTTTGAACATTTCATTTGTATCAGAATTACATGATTGTAATTTAAGGGTTTGTTCTATTTTGTAATGTTGGAGACTTGGCTTATGTTATTTTACCTGTTTTTATTCTATTACATTTGTTTATAATTGTTCTTGTGGAGTTTAATTTTGTATAATGTTAAGGTAAAGCCAAACAAAATACAGTGACACCTTTGTTTACAGAACATAGGTTGGCAGAAATGACTATGATTTGTATTTTGGGGATTTCAGGGTTAAATCAATGTCTTGACTTCAGGTTTTGTTTTTCTTTGTCTCTAAATATTTGCTGAAGTTGTAATCAAATTAAGCCATGATTACATTCTGCTTGATGCCATAATTTACCATCTGAACTTGTGCTACTTTCTGTTTTCATTCATATATCTTTATCAACACATTTTATTGTAAAATAGTGTGTGGATTTTTCCATGGCTTTTGTTCATATGTATGAAACATTTTTGAACTTTGATTCCTGAACCATCATTACTACTTGATTGTTATTTGAAGTAAGAAGATGGGTAAACATTTTTGTGCAGTAAATGGTTTAATATAAATGAAGATCTAGCTAACAAGAGAAGAATAAATTGTATGCTGTTGATTTGAAAGGTGTATGAAAATATCTGTACAAATTTCTATATATAAAAATGGGGGTATAGAGCTGTAGTTCTTAGATAAGGTGTCATATTGTAGGAGAATTGCATTACTGTAAGATATATGAGCTAAAAAAGTCAGTTTTAGAAGCACAGTAATTTTTACAAGAACACATTTTCAAGTAATGTGGTTGAAAACTAGCAATATTTTGCCTTTGTGATTTATTTTAATTCTTATTACTGCTTTCCTTCTGGTTTAGCAAAAGGCTTTTTAGAAGTTTGTGCAGTGAAATTATATTGGATTTCAGAGCATTGTTTTTGGTAAATGTACATAAGGTAGATGTAATCTGCCATTTGGATGAAATTGGAAGCTATAAGCCCTACTTATTGTTGGATCCTTTTTGCCCTTACACCTTCAAACATTTCAAGAAGTTTGGAAATCATTCTTTCCATCTGTAGTTGTTTATTATTCTGATTACACTGAAAAGAACCAGAACCAAAAAAGGTGGCTGCAGTGAATGACCCAGCAGGAGTTCAGCTGGCAGCGTTGCGAGCGCAACAGGCAACATCTCCGCCTGGAACAAACAGTGCAGCGGCAGCAGCAGCAGCCGTTCAGGCAGCGGCGGTGGCGGCCAGAGTGGCGGCCGCAGCAGCAGCGGGCCTGCAGGGCCTGGGCGTCGGTGTAGGCGTCCCTGGTCTCGGGGCAGTTCAAAATGAAGATATTCGTGTCCCTGATAAGATGGTTGGGTTAAGTAAGTATGAGTAATTTTTTTAGCATTTTGGGAGTGGAATTTATATGCCTGGACTAAAGAGATTGTATATCACATGGGAGTGATATGTTAGCCAGCTTACCAGATAGCTGTGGTCTGGTAGGATTAGTACTAGTAATGCTGTACAGGAACAAAAGAAGAAAATTGTGTGTATTTGTGTTCTAAAGGAAATAAAATAATTACAATGCTGTGGATGAATAGGCAGTAAGTGTTGTTTTTATGGATTGGGTTAGAAAGGTGTGTAGTGAATGATTAATACCAGGTAAAGTCATTCTTAAGGACAATGCGCACTTAAAGTTAATAAAAAGTAGGCCAGCAATATTAAACTTAATTACAGTAAACACAGGATTGGTTCATAGGAAGGGAATCAATACATGTATTAAATTAAGGACACTGAAACAACAGGGATTAAAAATTAGTAAACAGCATGTTCTGGTTAGAACACGGACTGCTTGTACTGACTTTGAACTTTAAAAATTAGGAATTCATAGGACGTGACATTTTGTGAGAACTGATACCATTGAAATTATAGGAAAATCAATGGGACTGACATAAATTATCGGATACTGTATTTTCTGGGAACGTTCATATGAATGAGGCAGAAAACTGCTGTCACTTTCATAAACACCAAAGTAAACTTCACACTTGTGGCATAAGGGGAGTGATTACATGTATTAAGAAAAAGGAATACGAGGTGCGATCGTTACGGGCGTTTTGGTAGTGCATTACACCGACCCTCCTGCGATTTCGGAATGGCGTGTGCATCAAATTTTGCCAAAGACTCGCCAAAACGGCTACGGAAACCTATGAAATGCTAAAGCAAGCATTTGGGGAGTCCACAATGGGTCGTGCACAAACTTTTGTGTGGCATTCACGTTTTAAAAATGGCCGAACCTCTGTCGATGATGACGAGCGTTCTGGACGACCATCTTCGATGGATGAATTTAATACCTGAGATAAGTGTACGGGTTTTTATACGCGCAGTCTGGAAACTTTCCGATCGCACCTCGTATATGAATGAAGTGTAGTTTATTATGCAAAGTGAAGATTAAAAGACCTTGAGTACCATAAGAAGTAAGATTCCTTGTACATGCATATGGCACCAGTAGGTAACATTTCTGGTTTTAACAGGAAGTAAATTTTTTATTTGTTTTGCAAATGATTCCATGTTTGTTCCATTTATCCCTCAAAGGAGAGCTGGGTAGCTCAATCAGTATAGTGACTGACTACGGACTAGAATCCCCGACAGACAGGGGATTTTTTCCACCAGCCTCTTCATCCAGACTGGCTTTGGGGTCCACCTAGCCTCTAGTCCAATGGGTACTGGGGTCCTTTCCCTGGGGGTAAAGAGTGGCAGAAGCGTGATGCTGACCATTCACCTCTGTCTAGTGCTGAGGTTGAGAATGAGTAGGAGCTGTACCTTTTCCTCCAAATTACCTTTCGGTTTGCCGAAGTCTAAGGGCGTTTTAACTGCAAGATTGTCTCTTAAAAATGCAAAGTGGCAAGGAAGAACATTTGGTAAATTAGTATTATAATGTAATATGTGAGTCTAAGGACCATAATATTAATAAGTTCAATAAATTTCAACCCTGTTATAAACTGTATAAATTATTGAAATGCCATTGAAATAATAGTATAAGTATAAGTTTTCTGTTTCACATTCAGTTTTCAATGTATAGTAGTTCCAAGGGACTTTGTTGTTTTGTGGTAAGCGGTAAGATTCTATAAAATCTTAATCATGTATTCTATATTTCCACAGTTATTGGTCGAGGTGGTGAACAGATTAGCCGGCTTCAGAACGAGTCTGGATGCAAGATCCAGATGGCACCAGATAGTGCTGGGTTGCCAGACAGGAGTTGTACACTTACTGGGTCACGGGAAGCAATCAAGTAAGATATTTTTTTAGTTATTTGTTAGCTTCTTCTACAGTTTGTTTGATAGCTGTATCAGAAGAATTTTGAAACACTTTGACATCTGTACCATGAGCAGTTTACAAACACCACAGAACATTTCCCATGTTAACCAGAAGTTCTTTCTAAATCTATATAATGTGTCATTCCCACCTCTTTGCAATATCATCTCTGTTATAACTCCCTAATTTTGTGGGTTCATGGACAGTAATACAATCGCATCAGAACTCTCCATCTGAACTGTATTAGTAATTTCATCCACATGTAAAAGTGCATTTTATTCTAAATTTGTAGGCATGCCACCATCTTCATAAGTACTGTATTATACGTAGAAGCTTTATTTTAGACGTAAATACGTCTATACGGAAGGGTTATTCGACAAAAAAGCGTAATGAAGTTGTGTAAGATCCATATCAACAATGTGTAAATATGGACCAACAACAATGGTCAGCTTTTATATGAACTCCTGCGTGCATTGTTATGTTACCTAAGCAACTAATTGTTGTGTCATCTGTTTACTCGGCATTGTTGTGTTACATTACTGCCGTCAACAATCCGCTTCCGTTATTGCGGAAAAAGCTGAGCTGTGAATCGCTTGTAGAAGAAGTGCGTCGTAAAATAGATAATATTATGCTGTTAAAAACGTTTTGGAATATCACAAGTACTTCAATTATATAAGAATTATTAAGGAATCTGTGATACTGCCCTCCATTCTCTCCATTTTAGTTTTGATTAAATTGATCATTGACGGTGGACATCGTGGTCTCTCACAATTGAACAAAGTTTGAAGTAAGGTATAAAGGCGGATCGCACTTCACACTACTGCTGCCTTTGTGTGTTGCGTCGTACTATGTAGAGATAACCAGATGGATGACATAGAAGCTAAAATAGTCCATAATGCAGAATATGAGATAATACAGAAAACGTAAAAAAAATTAAATAGAAGTATTAAGTAATGAACCTGAAGTTCCCAAAAACTAATGCTGAACGTATGAGGGAATATAGAAATCGCAAGAAGCAATTATTGCAAGTTATTGCTTCCACATCATTAGCAAGTACAAACAATATCTTAATCAAACTATTTACTCAATTGTAAAGCATGTATAAAGGGAATATTTAGAATAAAGCTAATATAAACTATTTACTCAATTGTAAAGCATGTATAAAGGGAATATTTAGAATAAAGCTAATATAAACTATTTACTCAATTGTAAAGCATGTATAAAGGGAATATTTAGAATAAAGCTAATATATAATCTTCCTTTCATTGTATTTATTGCCTAAATATAATTTAAATACAAAAACATATTTACGTAAGATTCTCTAACTGTGGTTCCACTGTCAATTTTTGTGTGTTGTTGATGTCTTGATTTAGTTGCTGTATTTGACATTTGAAGTTTAATATTATTTTCTTCTCTTAGTCGAGCAAAAGAGCTGATCATGAACATTGTGCAGCAGCGCAGTCGGACTGAAGGCACTGGATCTAGCATGGGTGATATGAATATGGGAGGTGGTCCAGTTAACCATGCTCATGTGAGTACAACCTTGGGATGCCAAGCATTTTTATGAAAGAAAGTATTATTTTCATGAAACTAATACTATAGACAAAAAGAATTTACATTTGTCTGACTGTAGAACTCTGTTCAAATACGTGATTTGTGATAAAACTACAGTAACACAAACAAATAAATATTTGGTCACAATTACTGGTATGCTGTTACTGCTGCTTGAATTATGCTGATCATTGGTGTCCCAAACTGTTCTTCAGTACTTTTGAAAAGGTTACATTTTCTGTACAGCATGAAGGAACTGTTTACAGAATTAGTGGTGAAACTTAATCAATTAGTCATTAACAAATGTATACAGTCTATTGTTACAGAGTTATTCATGCCGTATAATGAAAATTATTTGTATTTGTACATTGATGAATGTTTACCATATTGAAACATTAACAGTTAAAAGCTTAAGATCATAATTACGTCTTATGTTTTATGCTGTGCAAAAATATTGTGTACAATGAGGCCCCTCCCAGAGCTCAACAGGCTTTGATTTTGGCTTTAGTAAATAAGAAAAATTAACCTGTTAGCATATAGAATAGTTTCCAGTACCAAATTTTTGATTCGTTGACATAACTGAATATGCAGGTTATCACCTGTGTACAAGTTCTTTGCATAAACTGTACAAAATGATAGGCATTTTGCTCTGTGTCTAAAGTTGATTCATGGCACATTGTTCTGATATGGTAGTAAGAATAAGAATGCCATCTGTAGCTACTCTTGTATGTTTTAGGTTGAGATCATGGTACCTGGACCAAAGGTTGGTCTGATTATTGGGAAAGGTGGTGAGACAATAAAGCAGCTGCAGGAGAAGTCTGGAGCCAAGATGGTTGTAATTCAAGATGGTCCAACACAAGAACAAGAGAAGCCTCTTCGGATCAGTGGAGAGCCACAGAAAGTGGAGGTATAATTACGTGCAATTTTATTAAACGTTCTGGTAAACAAGTGTGACTAGAAAGTATTGCTTTGCTTCATCTTTACTATTGAATATTGTTGTTCACCAATTGCATATACCCTTAACAAGGTCGTCATATTTTGTTTGTTGCAGAAGTAGTGCTAAAATGTTACCCTTTGTGTTCTAGTTTAAATTGCACTCAACATGGTATGGAAAGCATGTTTAAATGCTCATAGGACATAGATGAAAGAGACTCGGTAGCTGTAGTGACGCAGACCATGAGCTGTAATAATTTAAAATTTGGAAATGGGATGTTAATTTATTGTTTCGGAATTGTTCTGTTGGTCAGTTATTAACATTTAATATTTTTATTCTAATTTTTTACAGTATGCAAAACAGTTGGTTTATGACTTGATTGCTGAGAAGGAAATGCAGGTGAGTTTGAATTCTACATGATGTGGTAAATTTTTAAAGTAGAATTTTTACTAAAATTCCATGTAGGACATTCATAGTGTAAGTCATTTTTGTTTGTACATGGATGATTTTGATCTTTTTCAGCAGGCGTACAATCGAGGGGGTGGTGGCCAGCGAGGTGGTGGTGGCGGCGGTGGTGGCGGTGGGAACCACAACTATGATGAGTATGGTGGCTCTGGAGGTGGAGGCGGAGGCGGTGGGGGAGGT